GACTACCAAATGGTTTTACAGTCCTTGATTTGATCCTTTGACACGATTGACATCCGTCTACATAATTGTTAATGAAGGCTTTCATTGATTTCCAGTAGTACCCCCTCTTGACTAATGCTAGAGTTCTCATTCTGCCTGGATGACCTGCTAGTCGGCTATCATGCCTTGATTTCAGTATTTGAACCTTCAGATTGTGATCATTTGGAACTACTATGTTTCCTTTGAAATATAAAACACCATTAATGTTCTTGTGGTCGTTCAATAGCTTTTTGAATGAAGATTCCTCGCATAGCTTTAGTACCTCAGTAATCTTGGGGTCGGATTTTGATTTGTTTTTGATTTCGTCTAATATTCTTGCATCATTCCATGCTAGTTCTGAATTTCCTTCCCCTAAATTGTAGTTGTTGTCAATTTCATCAATCTGAACATCTTGAATGATATCATCGTCCACTACCCATGATGTTATTAAGTCAAGTTCATCAATAAAAGCATCTGCTGGAAGGTTTTCTGGTTTAAGTAATCGTCCGAATGATAATTTTTCACCTTCTTTTGGCATCAAATCGGGTCGTCTTGATAGCGCATCCGGTTTTGTTGATTGTTTACCTGGTCGAAACCTGATCTCAAAATCAAAGCTTCCTAACGTCTCCGCCCATCGGGCTTGTCTTCTTGTGAGTTCTTTGGTTGAAATAAGTGATTCAAGATTTTTGTGATCTGTATATACGATTACGCTGAGCCTGTTCGGATTTCCTTCAAGATACTGTCTCCATTCCTTGAATGCGCTGACCACTGCGAGCAGTTCTTTATCAAATATCTCATAATTTCTTTCTGCTTTGATCAGGGACCGGGAGAGGAAAGCCACTGGGTGAAGTTCACCGTCATCATCTGAAATTTGAGACAATACTGCTCCTAACGCATAGTCGGAACAATCACATTCCAGTACGAAAGGCTTGTACGGATCTGCGATCTTTAGTATTGGTGCTGTAGTGAAAGAATCTTTGAGTAGCTGAAAGGATCTTTCACGCTCCTCTGTCCAGTTAAAAGTAGTATCTTTTTGAGATAATTCATGTAGTGGTCGAGCTATTTTTGAAAATTGATCAATGAAGCGTCGGTAGAAGTTTGCGAATCCAATGAACGTCTGAACCTCAGAGAGATTTTTTGGAGTTGGCCAATCGGTGACTGCCTTGACTTTTGTTTCGTCCATCCTGATTTGATTTCGTGAAATTATCAGTCCTAGGTATGCAATTTCAGATTTTGAGAATTTGCATTTCTCAGGCTTGAGCCATACATTTTGAGCTTTCAGGATGTCCAATACTTCTTTCACAACCGCTTTATGGTCCACCCCTGGTCTTGTATAAATAAGGATGTCATCTTGGTACGCTGCTACATTCCGGCCTATGTGACTTTTCAATATGTCCTGAATGAAGTATTGAAAAAATCCGGGCGCTCCGGTGGGACCAAATGGCATTGTGAGAGGTTCGAATTGACCTTGCTTGCAAATAAAGGCTAATTTAGCTTCATCACCTTCCCTTACTCGCAAGTTGTTGTATCCATTTCTCATATCCAGACTGGTGAATTCATCTGCATGAAGTAGACTGTCTATTAATTCCATCGTCAACGGTAATGGATATCTATTTTTTACCGTAACAGAGTTGAGTTTTCGATAGTCAAAGCAAGGCCTTAGGCTTCCATCCTTTTTCCCAGTGAATAGCACTGGTGCCGCCCATGGAGATGTTGTACGTCGAATCGTGCCGTTCTCTAGGCCTTTTTCAAGCATTTCGTCTAATACCTCACTTTCTTTTGGTGATAACGGAATGACTCTACCAGCCTGAGGCGTAGCTCCCGGTAGTAGGTTGACACGAAAGTCGTAGGGTCGGTGAGGAGGTAAAACACTTGATTTGCTCTTTTCAAACATGTCGAGGTAAGCATGGTAGCATTCAGGAACTAGTTCGGCTGCGGTTTGGACAGGAGCCTTCAATGCAATTTCTGCATTAAGCTTGGCAGATACATTCCAAGAAGTCGTAGAGGCTTGGATATGAGACAGTGATGGTTGCTGTTTGGGGAGTACTTGTGAGTATAGGCGTCTGGTTGGTGTAAGCGTACCGAGTCGTGCAGTTGATCTTGGTAGTTTTCCCTGTAGAAGAGAGGAATGCTTTTTCATTGTTTCACAAGGCTTGTTTGATTGGGCATTGAAAGACTCACTCTGCGGGGGTATTAATGAGTCTTTTACGATCTCTACCCCCTTGTCACTTTTCCTAGCTTTCCTCATTGGTTCCATCTCGTGGTCTTCTGAGGATTTTGGCGGATTGGACAAAGTCATGCTTTGAATGACTGCAGGTGATTCTTCTTGTGATTTGCTAATGGTCGGAGTTGTTTCAATAGACTGATGGAATTCTAAATGGTGTTTAAGCTTGCAACTGGTTTCTTTAACTGAATTTAGAGGAGACAAGAAATACTCACATTGCGGGGGCATTGATGAGTCTTTTACGATCTCTACCCCCTCGTCATGTTGCCTAGCGTGCCTATCAGGCTCCAAAGTATGGTCCTTCAAGGAGGTTTCCGGCCTTGACGATGTTGCTTTTGCAACAGCAATGTTGAGAGTCGGACCACAGGCTTTTGACAAACAGCTTTCATTCCAATTGATTCGTGAATAGTTGCGTTTTATCCATGGCATACCCAGGATCAGATCGTACTTGTCTCTAAGGGATGTGATGATGAATGTGGTTGGGTTGGTGTCGTTGTCGATGAGGTAGTCGCCAGTGTGGGTAATTTGAGATTCGTGTCCACTGAATCCGGTTACCTTGTGGGAATGTGGCAAGGGAGTTGTACAAAGATTATACTTTCTCACAAAATTGAGGTTCAAGGCTTCATGGGTGGCACCGCTGTCAATTAGGGCTCGAGCAGTGAGTGTTGTGTCAGAATTTGGGTCGTGGAGGGTAACATGGTTAATAATACGAGTGTCTTTCATTTCAAGGCTATCAATATCACCAACTTCCACACCTAAAGGTATTTTGCTCGGGGGAGGCACAACTAGCACTCCCGAGCTTCTCCATTTTTTGACAATTCTGATCTACTCAAGTTTGTATCACTACTCTTGACTTCTGACAACTGATTATCCAATTCTGCAATTCTAGCTTTTAATTTATCAACTTCATTATTTCTAAAACCACCACCACCTCCTCTTTTCTTTCTCTTCGCAATATAACAATCAGCAATCACATGATTTGTCTTTCCACATTCATAACAAGCGCGGTTTGCAGCCCTCTTCCGATATTCCTCTTGCGAGATATTGATTCGATAAGCTGAGCAGTCCATTGCATCAGGATCAGCAATAGGAGTTGATGACGGACCGGTAGCCATTGTTAAACTTTGAGAACGATTGTTTAATTTATTATCAACTTTGATTGCAAACTGAGACATTTCCTCTACACTTTTGAACTCTTGTTGAATCATATATATTCTGATTTCACGCTTGAGACCTTGTTCGAACTGAGACATTAAAATGTTTTCCGGCCATTTAACGATTAAAGAGAGCTCAGAAAACGTGATCCAATAATCGGACACTGCTCTAGTTTGCTTTAGATTACGAATCTCATTTTCAGCTTTTGGAAGTCTTTCAGTATCAAAGAACGTCGCTCGGAAGGAATTGGCAAATTTAGTCCAATTTACAAGATGAGCTTTTTCTGAATCTAATAATTGATCCGTGAAAGCTTGACCCCAAATGCTTGCTTTTCCAGTCAAATAAGACAGCGCGAACGCGACTTGAGCTTTTTCATCGGCGAATGACGCAGAGTTCATTTGCATGTAAATTCCGATTTGATTCATGAAGATTTCAGCCTTAGATCCTTTAGATCCATCAAATTTGTCTGGGGTTGCGATTTTAGGCGGTCTAACTTGTTGCACTTGAGTATAGGTAGCACCAACGTTTCCAGGAAACGTTGGGATGGTCGTGGAAGACATCAGAGTAGAGACTTGAGCTGCAGGAGCTGATTGTGATTGTTGAGTTTGAGTTTGTTCTAACTGTAACAATCTCTGCTCGACTTCTATACGTTTGGCGTCGGCAGCACGTTGATTGGCTTCCGCCTCTTCTCTCCGGCGGGTTTCGTCATTCAATCTAGCCGTCAAATTGTTAAGTTGCTGCATGATTCCAGCTAAACTTGCTTCTGACATGTTAACTTCCGACATATTGGGATCGATCGTAGGTTCGAGAGCGTCTAAGAATTCGGATTCTCGGCCTGTAGAAGTCGTAGAAGTCGGGCTTTGGGGGGTGGTGAATTCCGGCGTGGTGATTGATTATATGAAAGGCTGATGATTAAGCTTTGATATTCGCGCTTTAACAGAGTTTGAAACTTTAAATTGCCGAGGGGATTTTCTAAACTTTCTAATCTAATTTTTGTTAATTTCCAACTTCTTCGTTCTTCACTTTTTTCACTTTGTCTTGACTAATAACTTTAATCTTCTTTTCTTTAAACTTTGATCTATTTTAAACTTTTTTCTTCTTTGCTTTTCTAATTTAAACTTTTGCTTGTTCTTTAATTTATTAACCTTCTCCGATCTCTTGGATTTAAGACGTTGCAATATGTAAGGACTCGATAGGATGATGAGAGATGAGAGAAGACTAATGAGGTCCTTCTAGTACTAAGTAGATTGCAACGTGAGGACTATAGTCTGTGCTCGACAGCGTACAGGATATGAGAGCAAACATGTATAAGCATATGTAGAGTAGCCTTATACGGCTCATAACATAAAACAAAGCATTGCGAGTAATGACTGATACAAAGATTGAGTTTTATTTTTGGAAATGGTTGCTTTGATTATCAAAAAAAGGAACTGACATTGCAATTGGATAGGTATACCGCCTGATCATGGTGATGAGCTTTGATGTGGATTTGACCAGGGTTCATGATTATACGTCATAACATCTAGAATGAGATGTAAAGTATCAAAATCAATACAAAGTCTTAAGAGCGAGATGTAATGATGAGATACATACAATCATTATTTCATGAATCAAGTTGATAATCTAAATCGAAATCCAAGCAACAAGCCGTGATATCAATCTCATCTTGATAATTATATTTTTGACTTTCAAGTTTGGAAGATGATTTCTTGATTTCTTGGTTTAATGACTGGATTGTAAGTTCTTTAAAATTCGAAGTCAAATGAATAGGAAATCGAATCAGACATGGCTATTCTAAATGTAAAACGATCAATAAAATTAGTATGATATCAAGAGTTTTTAGAATCGGAAAAATGATATAATAGAACACAAGAACTGACCTGAAGTGATTTCCAATGTTCTAATGTTGATTTTGGCAATGGTTTACGTTCAATCTTGGTAGTTTGCCACCAAACTGGTGAACTTGATATGATCACTAACCAAAAGCTCAGTATGATTTTGATTCTTGGGATCGAAAACCAATACAAATGGTGGCTGATAGGGTAAAGCAGCGAGACCTGTATGATCTCCGATCGAGCGGCGAAAGGCGTGGCGGTAAACTTCCTGGGACCAAAATGGCAGTGCGCGGCGTAGCTACCCGGACCCTGCGGCTCCCGGGTTGAGAGGCGATAGCGCCGAGCGCAGCGCCTTGCAGCGCTCCGCGCTGCTGTCTGCGCTGCGAGCCAGACTTGATCCTCTGCTCAAATATCATCAATATCATGGCATCTAACATTGTCAGCAAGGCCACTTGGCCATGATGAAGAAAGATATTTATTTCCTATTCACATTGGCACGCACAAAACAAAGGCTTTGTCTCATCTCTTCCAACTTGGTCTACTTGCACAGTCCCTCAATTGTACCCTCATTTGTCCACATGTAGGATCAAGCTACATCTCTCAATGCGGACCTCATCCCTTCGAGACTTATTATTCTTCACATGCACTGGCAAGGTGAAGTATACATACTATCAGTCAAAATGAAGTAGAGGGAAGGATTGCTAGTTCATTCAGAGCCCAGGCCTTCTCTCAAAAGTCTGTCTTTTGATCACTTACCTTTTTGAATATTTTGGCTGCTGAAGGAAGTATTGCCAAATCTTGATGTGTCTCAGCTGAACTGCAACACAATCTCATAATTTCTCCAATTTTACTTCAGATAAGTGGTGCAATTGGTTGGCATCATTCTGAGACTTCTTGTACAGTCATCTCTCCAAAAATCCATATACCCAATAAGCCATACTTTTTCGAGGCCAACCAGAGATGAAAAACCCATACTTTTGGTGTGATTTAGGTCCAGGCTGGTGGAAAAACTTAATTCAAGATTCCTTACTGTACACGTCCCCACGCCTAGGATTTGTAATCATCGGGTTTGCAACAGGCCCCGGCCCCGCCGCTGCAGAACTTGAATGATTACGTAAACCACTTGGAGGGGACTGTACTGTACAAGTAGACACAGAAAGTATGTGTCACCCTTGGGGCCAAAATATCACCACAGCATGTGAATTGTGAGCCAGTCTGGCCCCGGGGATGATCATTCAAGTTAAAGGCAGACCGTGTTCGGCGGCAAAACTCCAAAAACTCCCAATCCCTACTCCAAATTTCGAGGTTTACGCGTTCCCACCATTTAATCTCTTTTTTACGCGGCTGAAGCCTCCTCCCACTTCATTTGTCATTCCTCACGAATGAATCCCCAACCTATTGTCCTCACAGTGTCTCTTCCCAATCGCTTGACAGCTTGAACACCGCTCTTGATGCATAGGGTCCCAGGCTTGGCTCTCAACAAATCACATCTCGATTATGACGGTGCTCGACTCAATGGTTGATTCACCACTCACCCGTCAGCTCATCACAGTCATCGATCTCTTTTCTAGCAATTCATTAAATCGAGGATTCTCATATTCACAACAACGTCAAGAAGATCATCTCAAAGCAAATTTGACTTGAATAGCGATGATTTACACAAAGTACAGCAAGCTTAGAAGACACTGTTGCATTCAATAACCACAAAGCCCATTCCTCAATCAAGTTGGCCAGTTCGGCTCTTCAAGTCAATTCTTGGGATCTTGACAGACTTTCTTGGCTTTAATCGATTCATTGTATTAGTCAACTTGCTCTTGACAGCGTTCTGTACGGATGCAAGCTTCAGGACTCACACTGGGGGCGCAGAAACAAAAACGCGCCAAACGACGCGCCTCGCGCCTAGGCGCGAGGCGCGCCCGAACAGCTCGAAAAATCGGTCGGCGCGCCCACATTGGGTATGGGTATCCAAACCTAACAAACATGGCGAGGGGGGCTCTGTTAGGTTTGATTCTACCATCAGATATGCCCCCAGGTTCAAGGATCCTTCTGAATTCATGTATACTTTGAATATGGATCCGTATACTGGTCATCTTTTTATCCGGTCAACAATATGCCAAACATTCAGAAGCCACACAGTGCACCTGTGATTGGTGCACCTGGAGCTTGGAACCCCAAAGATGTCAATTTTGGCTAGTTGTATCTCTTCTGTCATCTTACTTTTCGTTTATTAAAGCACTTCAAGATCTGAATTTTTCCAAAGACAAGCCTTTCTCAAGTTTGGCTCAATTTTTGCTCTAAAAAATCGCGCCTGGCGCGCCAGCAGCGCCTAGGCGCGGTTTTGATTCGAGAAAAGGCGCGTAGGCGCGCCTTCTGAAAAAAGGCCGCGCCCCCAGTGTGATTCAGGACTCATTTTTTCAATGGTGAAGAAAATTCAGCATTTGTGAGAATAGGAGCAGTAGGTGAAAATTGGGTCAAGATCTATGCTCGAATTCCACCTTGCGGTCAAACAGGTTCAGAACCATATAATTCTGATGAAATTTCAGTGGGTGCCGTCGTCATCTATTGACCAACAAAACCTGTTGGGGATTGAATAGTAAGACCCGAATTGTTTGCATCTAATGAAACTAACTGGAATTCAGTAGTTAAGATTGACGATTTATGGCCTGGTACTTGCTTCCGAAGCTACGCGGCACAACCTTGACCGTACGAATTAGATCGGTCAACATCCTTGGAATCCCCCAACGCACATCATGATCGGTTCCCTGCCGTGAGACGCTTTAGGACAATCTCTGATCGACGCCTCGCATCTAACGCGGTTGATGAAGGGTTTTTTCATTTGCATACATACACCAGCTGTATCAAACGTGCGTTATTCTAACTCATAAGCATTTTTGTATACCCAGATCAACTGATAAGTCTGTTTGACACTTTTTCACAATGTGCAGCTGGGTTTCCTCTCAACCCTCTCAGATCACCCCTTCATAATGATGGAGCAGAACAGCTCGCCAAAATTGCTCATGAGTGACATTTGGACTTTGTATTGTTCCTTGGTGATTTCATCTATGCCGACTCGCCTTTCTCCGCTGGAAATTGTGTACAAGATTATTGGAGAAATTACCGACAATCGTACGCAAGCGCAGGATCGAAAAAGGCAAAATATTCATTGATACTTGATTTTTCAGTCATTGGGGATTGTTGGGTAACAGACGGACTCGGAAACTCAAAATACATCTAGCAACCCTCGACGATGCGGGGTGGTAACTTTCAGATCGACTGGCATGATGTTTAAGAGATTGAAGTTCAAACAGGTAAAGATGATTCTTCCCGCATGCTTTGTGAAAGATATGTCTATCAACATCGAGGGCTAACCATTTGGCTTCCTCGCTGCATCTCTTGTGTATCTTTAAAATAAAAATTGTTTTTTAAACAATTCTCTCTGCTAACCCATATTGTGCCCCCAGAATAGGATTTATGGGTTATCAGAGAGATCCCAATAAGACATACTCCATCAAAACCCATACTTTTTGGAGTCCATAAAACGGTATGGGTTTTTGGAGAGACGACTGTAGTGTCTTTTGAGACTCTCTTGTTGACCACTTCACAGCACAACAATGTGTACTGTCTCTCTTTGCAGATTGGAAGTTGCTCTATCCCTTGTTTAATCCCATTCTGACCTACTACCATCTTGAACACAATTGTCTTTTAGATTCACTCACCAACAAACAGGAAGACCTTCTTGGCAACCCTTCAAACATTTTGGGGATTGTGGAAAGGCTGGTGTTGCCAAGAATGAATTGGATCTCAGTGGGCGCAGGCAATGGAGACAGGACTTCAAGGTGCTCATGAAGATGTTCTAGCTACTCCAGACAGATTGTAAAAATGCACAAAGAATGTGAAACAAAGGAAGGCAGACAGGTGAAGCGTGAAGTCGGATTTTGAGGATGAAATGTGAGATTAATTTTGTGTAAAGGTCTGCAATAGTTGAACTGTTAGGATTTCTGACTGAAATATTACTGATGGTTATGTACAAGATTTAGATGTGTTGATAGGCATTGAAAGAACCATCTTGATTATATCTTGTATTTGATGTTGTAATTTTTCTTAGTTGATTAAATCTGCCAAAATGAATTTGCTTACTCTTTGTTTGTGATCAGTGTGGGTATGCCAAATTTTATAGCCCTTTTTTCTGGCTGAAATCCCTTTCTATTTTTCCTCCTTGCTGCAGTCTTATTATCTGTCAAGTTACACCATTTATTAAACATCAAGAAGAACAATCAACCCTATTGGTGCTGGAATCTTCATCCTGAATGGAGTCTGACTGTCTTTGGTGCACATTGTCTGCTATGAATTGCTTTTATCAAATGCAATTATAAGTAGTATCCAAAGCCTAGACCAACCTATGGACTCTCCGTAGGCCAAGTACAGGAGAGTCATGATCAGGTGAAAATCTTGTGCTAGCATTTTATCTTCAACGTACAAGTCTCAAACAGGAGTAGTAAGTTATCATTTCCCCTGATCCCAATAGATGTCTAAATAGACAGGTGGTGGGTAACTTGAAAGTTATTCTGAATTTTCCTTCCCTCAATGTGCCTAGTGATTTTTGTCATGAATCCCTTGTGAGGTACAGTTCAACCTGTTGACACTTTAAGAAGCATGAGTTTAGACTAATTTATTCATCCTCTTTTCTTTTTGTTCAACAAAACTCCATGATTTTGACTGAATAAAAAATAATCCTCATCATCAATTTCTTCCATCTCCAGAAAGCCATATAACCAAAATTACCTCTGTTCATCTGAAGCTTACTAAAGACTTTGAAAATTCCTCACAAGGGGCAAATCTTGAAACTAATTTCCCTTTGGGATTCAAGTTTTGTGTTTGACTAAGTTGTTATACCAGACAAATTTCAACAATGATCCCCAAACACGTTGCTTATATTATAAGATTGTAGCTAGCAGATTGTGTTTCTTCCTTCAAAACATCGCGTTTTCTATGATCTTCACTCTGAAATATGTATGTCAAGTTACAAGCTGGTACGATTCATCCTTGATATCACTTTGTCTCATTTCATCAATGAATCCCGTCTTGATGCGGGACGGTGTGACTGAGTCAAGCCAACCTGATAATCAGATTCTTGGCCACAATAAAAAGTGAAAAGTACCGAGCTCCGGTAAGCATGGTAGCGATACCCGAAGTCACACACACAGCCACCGCCGGTATCGAGTGAGCTGCGTCATATTGAACTTCAAGTACCACACTCAACTGGCCGAATCCCAAAAGCGTTGCTTATCAGCTTTACCTACTTCGAAGCAGGGATTGAAAGAAATTCAAAAAACAATCATATTGAAAACAACCCTATCACCTTCAATCAAATATGGGTATCCTTTGGTCTCGCCTGTTTGGAAAAGAAGAATTGAAACTGGTAATTCTAGGTATCATTCATTATTAACGAATGAGATCGACCCATCTGAAGTTCGACCAACTTAACTGATGAAAATGTGTCATTATATTTGTCCCATCTTTAGGACTCGATAATGCTGGAAAAAGTACAATTCTATACAAGATTACTATGGGTGAAGTAGTTGCTACTGCACCTACAGTAGGGGCGAATCAGGTTAGTCTTTTGCTTGGAGACCCAATTCTGAGCGCAATTTGGCTTAAGCTGGATACACTTCAAACTTGACCCGAAACCTCCAGGAACTCTTTGAATATAAAAACTTGAAAATTCGAATGTGGGATCTGGGCGGACAATCGAGTCTCCGGGTAAGCTGCCTTTGGAAGCTCAGTCGCATTTAAACCTCACGGCTTTTCAAACCTGATGATTGATTATATTTTTCCTCATCAAGTCAACTTGGTCATCTTATTATGGGAAATCAAAGGTCGGCTAGGTTTGTCATCAAGGAGATGATGACTTTTTTCGATCACTGATAGACCTTCTCTTTTGGGATGTTGAAGGCGTTGATCATGGTTGTAGATTCAACAGATCGAGAAAGGCTTTCACTAGCGAAAGATGAACTACATCGGGTAGCGACGGATGCAGCTCTTACCCCTGAATCAGGAGCAGCACCGGCATGCCTTTTGATCATGGCTAACAAACAAGATGTAAAAGGGTGGGCCATTCTCAAGTTGTCATGTTTGGACGGAATCTCATCCACATTCATATTCTTCACAGATGTATGACTCCTGCCCAGGTATCAGAAGGTCTCGCCCTCACTGAATTGCGTGATCGTAAGTCACGCTTTACGGGTCTGTTTTTGTCTGCTGCTAACTGACCCCGGTACAATTGATTGACAGGGCAATGGCAAATTGTTGCATGCTCGGCCCTCACAGGAAAGGGTTTAATGGAAGGCATGGATTGGATTGCGTGAGTCTTAATAGCGTTTGATTTTGCTAGATAACACCAATGTTGATACCAGTTCAAAACTGCTTTTGCACATACAGGAACCGTAAGTCTGCGCTTTTCAAGTGTCAACTGCTGAAATAGAAAGTTCTGATTCGCATGATTCTAATCTTCGACTCACAGAACTTAAAACCTGAAACAGGTTTCCCAATCTCGAAGCACAAATCAATCCTTTCAATCCACTATCTTCACCTTCTCATCCGCTCTGGGACATCCACGACTAGATTCCGATTAGGTTTTGGAGATCATATGGACTTGCATTACTTTCTTCATCAATGTGTTCAAGTTTCCTTTTGCTTTCCTTTGACTGTTTTTCGGGTATCAGAAATCGATATTTGTGGTTTTCTAGGAGTTTCATTGGTGGGCTAATTTTGCAATCAGATGTAATATCAGCGGCTATATGTGAATGTCGTCATTTGGGCAACGACGTGCTGGTAATGATCACCTCCCCTGCCTCGTGAACCACCCACATTGCGGACGCCAGGTTATGGCACAATCGTTATCTTCCACATTGCTAGGGTGCTCTTGCAAAGAATACAAGGCTTGGCATGCTCTTGTAGGCTACTCGAGTCATCGTACATTACCACTGGACGTGCGACTATCGAAGATTTGGGCAAATGTAGGCTTATGAAGTGCTCTATGTTACAGATTGCGGCTATCAGTCCAGATCTATCTCAAGTATTTACAATTTGAAACAGATATGTAGCTACAGAAAAAAGAAATCGTCTAATACATCATTCAAGAAAACTCGAATGAACACATGTAAACAGCATTAGAAGTGTTCATGATTACAAATTGGTATTGAATTAAGACCACCAGCTCACAAAGAAAAGGAAAATAAACCATAAGAACAAAGAAGTAGACAAATAAGTATGAATTACTGATGATGAAACGGACAAAGGGTGAGATACGGAGTTGAGATGAAAAACAATTCATAAAGATGAACAGATTGTAAGTGTTGAACATATGAACAAAATCTCAACGGTGAATTTTTGAGAGATCATTTCTTGGTTTTGCGTTTTTCACGCCTAAAAGTAGATAACCGATGACGACGTGAATCTTCATCTTCATCTTCATCCCAACCTGAAGTAGGAGTTTGAGGATCAAATTCAGCAGGAAGAGTCGCGCGTCTGCCATCAGATTTATAAGTTTGAGCAGGATGTTTTAGAATTGAGGTCGGTAGGTTTCTACTATTGGCAGATGAAACAGAGTCTATGGAATTGCCCTTTTCTGGATCGGTTGGTAGTGGTACATCGACTTCAGGTCTTGAGTCTTCAGTCGGGTAAATTAAATCATTGAGAGGCATCGTGAAGATTTTAAGCGTACCACGACCGCGATGATGAAAGTAGAGGATTACAAGGAGGATTGAGTATACGAAGAGTAAGATGAATAGCGTGAAGGTAAGTCCAATGGTCTTTGAAAAGAGAGCTTGTAATTGAGTTGGCATCTTGGGTGAGTTGCCAGTAGGAGCTAATCCGGCACCACCGCCTGTGAGGAAAGCAAAACGTCAGTTTCGATTCTCTGGTTTACAAAACAGGGTCAAATGATAAAAAAGACGAACACATAAGCAGAAATCCTATGATCGAGACCCAAGCCAACTCAGAGACCACGTAAGTGAGGAACGCCGCCACTTTGAACAGTGGTGCGACGATGATGATAGGCATAAGAGTTGTGAGTAGGACACCCAACATGATAAGGAAAGGAACTGATTGGCGTCTGGAATCTTCAATGCCATTGGGTAATGGTGTATTGGGGGGAACAACAGAATCCAGTGAGAGTCGAAAGAATTGAACGCAATCTGCTAAGTGAGCAATGCTCATGATCCAAACTACCAACCAAAAAGTGAGTCGAATGATGATAAAGGGCTGTTTTCTGATTGTTAGTCTGATAATTTCAATGGAGGATTTCAAAGTTTCGTCCATTCTTCGTCTTTGTGGTCTTGATTGCGTTGAATTCTGATCCATATTTGTTATTGGTGTGTTGTGTTTGGGCGTTGGGGTTTGGTGAAAAAGTGTAACCCTCGAGGCGCAATGGATAAAATCGTGTCTTTATTTATATAATTGAAAGGGTTGCAAATGATTGAAAGTGTTCTTGGCCCCTGACCTTATTTTTGAAGCGAAGTTAACGTAAAAAGGGTAACCTCAATGAAATTTGCTGAGCTGACCTCGGCGTTTGGTAGGGTGTTGCAATGAAATGGAAAATTAAAAAGGCGTCAAGCATGTAAGAAAGAAGGATCTTGGCCCAGTAACGTTAATTTTGTCAATCTCGAGCCTCACTACCGTGGGTCTGGTTAAAAAGGCATGACATCAATGATTAGTCGCCAGGGAAGGGAAGGTGGATGCGATGAACGCAGGAATGAGTGTCAGGGTCCGAGTGTCAGAAAGCCTGCAAAGCCAGAGGAAGGATTGAAGGTAAAGTCGTCGATCAGGGTCGGCTGAGCGTGTTATAATAAAATTGCTCAACACAAGCGATGAAAAGAACCAATGTCGATCAAAACGGGCAAAGGATGCCAAGATGCAAACGGAAGGTTATAGATCTCGAGAGCAACTCCCGGATGGAGTTGAGAATAAGTTGCAGAATTGCACCGTTGCTAACTTTCCATATCTGGATCACCATGACCTTCGAGCCCTGGAGTGACTTATAAAAGTAGCTGTTGAGACCCAATGACTTGTTGATGAACCAGGTGTGGACTTTTGAACCACGACATAGCACATTGCGGAAGGCGTGTATGGTGGCAGAATGATTTATCAAGATCATCCATTATCACCATCTCAACATTCCGTTTTTTTCTTGAAGTCATCTCCTCGGTGGCTTCGACAGGCGCATACAATCATCAAACGTGAATCGTTTCAAGAGTGACAGGGGAAGCGGCACGGTCTGGCACAGGTTCCTCCTGGCACGGCAGTTCGAGAGAGCAAGAGGCTGAGCTCAAAGTAGAAAACACGTTATCACATAGGCTCTTTTGCTTTTCGAGAAAGCTTGCCATGCGCACCACTATTACAGTCGTCTTTGACATAACCCATCTGTGCTGTAAGCCATACTCACAGGGGCCAAAATAGATACTCACATACATGTGAGCGTTGTAGACTTTTTGGAATTCTCCAAAAAAGATTCATTTTCTTTCAGATTGATTCAATTCACAATCTTGTTTGTGTTCAGGTGATCATCCTGTGGTTCTCATATTTTACTTGACATTTATTGAGAAGGCTCATTTCCATCTTGGATGAGCAATAACTGATTCCCAATGAGTACTCAGGATCAGCTCATGAGGCACTGAATACTCAGCAATTTGTTCAAAATGAAGATGAGCACATGAACTATACCTTCCTGAGGCTTCATTTTTCAGTGAAGAAGCCTGCCCAGGGGCGTCCCATTTGAGCTGCTCAGCAAATACTCAGTAGCATCCCCTGACTGGATCACTGATGGGCCGGACTTTTCTCAGACTTCCTTGCTAAGGAATGAAGCCTGATAAAAGCGTCATCCTATCTGCTCATTGCTCAGCTAATCCTCAGTGATATCCCCGGATAAAGTTTTTCACACTGAGGGGCTGAGATCAACTGAGCAGCCCCTCAGCCAATACTCAGTGACATCCTTTGGATCCTTCTGATCCGGCCAGGAATGTCCCTGAGGACTAGCTGAGCAGGCCCTCATCCAATGAGCAGTGAAATCCTCCGGATCCTCCTGATCTCAGGGATGCCCCTGAGGAATAACTGAGCAGCCCCTCATCCAATGAGCAGTGAAATCCTCCGGATCCTCCTGATCTCAGGGATGCCCCTGAGGAATAACTGAGCAGCTCAGTTGAACGAGCAGACGGGCCTCAGGCTTCATTCCAGAGCCATGAAGCTTGAGGCAAGCTTGGCGCTCTGTGATCCATCTGGGGGATACTTCAGAGACTTAGCTAAGGAAATACTCAGTTCAGCTCAGCCCCTAAGCTATACATTGGTGGCATCCCTTGGAACTTACTGAACCAGGGAATGCCGCTCAGGATCAGCTGAGCAGATGGATCAGCCCTTCCTCAGACTTCTTTGCTCAGGAATAAATGCTGAGGAAGGCTTAGTTTGTCTGCTCAGTTCCTGATGATCACGTAATCAGCTGACAAACAGAAAGAAAAGGGAAACAAATGGGAAACAAATGGGAAACAAATGGGAAACAAATTGGAAACAAATGGGAAACAAATGGGAACAAAACAGGAAATTTTCAACGCTCACATAGTTGTGAGCATCAATTTTTGCCCCTGTGACTCCATCAAAACCCATACAAATTTGGCCATCTGCAGAAAAAT